CTCTCTCTCTCTCTCTCTCTCTCTCTCTCTCTCTCTCTCTCTCTCTCTCTCTCTCTCTATCTATCTATCTTCGTGTGCTGACGACAGTCGTCGTCGTCGTCGGGAGAGAACCCATCAAGGATCTCCTTCTCGCGCTGATCCACCTCATTCGCTCTTTATCTCCTTTCATTCGAGTCCTCTTGCTCTCCGCACCCTGGCTCGCTTTTCGTCGGAAATGGAGCTTACAAAATTAATCGATGTTATCCCGACTGCTTCGGTCGAGATGCACGAAGAAGAACGAAGGACGGAGGGACCAGACTCTCTTTCTTGCTCGCTTTCCTCTTTCGTAGCTTCATCGCGATCGTCTCCGAATCCAGGTCGGGGGCAGAGCGACAATGAGTGACGTCGAATCAAGTGGGGAAATCAGAGCCAGTCCGACGGCGCGTCTCCAAGTCGGATTAGAAAAGAATGGGCTTATACGAGCGTCGGATTCCGGGCGCTACGGGACGTCCCGTAACCACCAGGAGAGTCCCGTCACAGCGCCGAAAGGGAAAGACCGCTTTGGAACTCTCCTTCTCTGGTACCACTTGGAGGCAAACTGGATCACACGGAGAAAGAGACGGATTCCCTCTTTTTACGAGGATGAAGCCCCGCTGATGTGGCCGTCGGCCGGTGACGATGTTAAGCCGACGACGAGGGCGAGGAGGAAGAAGAGCTTTTCCTGAGCTTTCAGCGACGTTTGCCGGAAAGCGGAATATGGCGGAAATCGCTCGATTGCGAGTGCAAATTCCGCACGGTGCAATTAAAACCCGCCGCTCTATGTCTGCCAGTCCCTTTCGCTGCGCGACGGCGCGGCGCGGCGCGCGCGATTTATATTCTAATTTCCCGGATAATTGCAGATATCAGCGCGAAATTACACACGACGGGCCTGATGCGTATCGATGGCGCGAGCACCCTTCGACAATGTCCACGAGCCAGCTGCGTTTTCGCGTGTCCGTCTGTCCGTGCGTCACTCGACGGGCGCCCGCGTAATTAAAAGGGTGCATTATGAGAGTAGGTGGTAGCGGCGGCAGAGGAGGAGGAGGAGGCGCGAAAAAGAAACACACACAAAGAGACAGAGATGTGTGTATATGTGTGGTGTGTATGTGTGAGATGCTCACCTTGTTATCTCGTGTATCCCGCGTATCCGCCCGGATGCTCCGACTATCAGCGACGGTAACGCGCGCACACACCAAAGAGCACCAAAGAAACCATCGATCACAACCGGGTCCCTGTAGATCCCCCCGTCCCTGGCTCGTCTTACTCGATTTCCCTTGCCCCACCCTCTCTCCCGCGCACTTGTGATAGAAATTTACAAAAATCTCACTCGCACACTCGCGCAGCAACGTCGGCAATGAGGAACAGCGATAACAACAAACAACAACAAGCGTTGCCGGAGACTCCCCCGCAATCTCACACACGATCTCTAAGCGCACGTCCCACTGCCGAGTGTCGCGTGTCGCGCTAACAGAGTATCCATTTAGAAAAGTGCAAAAAACCGAGCCGGCTGGCGCACGCACGAGGTCCGCTCGCGTCACTGGCTGTCGTCGCCGGGGCACCGCGTGTCTCCTCGCGCCGTGGCTCCCCGCGCTGTGTCCGCCGTCACTGTCGTCATCATCGTCATCGTCATCATCGTCATCATCATCATCATCATCATCATTATCATCACGATCAGCCGACGACGAGAGACGTACACGAGCGCGCACCGACCAGCCGGAAGGAACGTACCGACTAAACACCGTACCGTCACGGCGCCGCGGCACTAACTGACAGGCTGACGAGAAACTCCAGTTGGTCGTCGGTCGGCGAGAAGGTCGACGGGAGGGGAACCCGAAGTTACCCGCGCGCGCGGCGGCGGCGGCGGCAGCAGCGACGGCGGCGGCGGCGACTCTCTCCACCAGAGCCTCTCTCACACGAACTCGCGTCCTCGTCCGATCGCATGCGTTCATGCTCCCTCTTGCTCTCTCGCCCTCCGTCACCATCTAGTGGTGGATCAGAGTACCGGGTACGTGCGCGCGCGCGTTCGCCCCCCGGTTCGCCACCCCTGTGGTGGACGGAAGGCCGTGCTCCGTTTGAGGGAGGAAGGGGAGGGGAGGGAGCGAAACGAGCACGTGAGGCTGGTAAAGAGCCGAGGGTGGGTGAGAGACTGGCGCGGAGAACGCGGGGGCCGGACGGGGGTCAGAGCGTGCGGAGCAAGCAGCAGCCAAGGCCGGTGCGCGCTTGGGGGGGTAAGGGAGCTTGGTCGACAGAGGGGGCGAGGTTGCAAAATATGTTGTAGAAATGGGGTGGCGGATGAATGCGGTCGCCTGTAGACTAGCGATTTTATTGATCTTTTTTCCACCCTTCGGACGCGCGCCGGGGCCCCCTCCCCCCCCCCCCC